CCACCACCGCCCGGCCCAGAAAGATATCTTAAGAATTTAAAACAAACATGGGAATGATATTTTTGAACATAAAAATTGAATTTTCTTCCCATTTGCCAAGACTATTTTGTTGTATAACTCTTATCTGGCACTGTCTGTTCCAGTGTAGCTCTGGCATTGACGTCACATGCCTGATGGTAAATTCTGAGAAGTCCATCCTGAGCTTCACCCCTGGCACTTGCCATGGAAGAACTGCTCTTTACTTAATAAATTAACAACGCAGGTAGCTGACTGTCCACACAGTCAGATATTTAATTCTGACATGCCTCATTTCCTGTCCTTTTCATGTACCATTCAGCTTGAATGGAGAGTGCGGATGGAATATCTGATGCCTCCAGTATGAGAATGGATGAACGGGAGACAGTCATCCAGTTATTATTCTGAGAGGTTGGGAAGGCTTGAGGTTATGGTGGTTTCTGCTAAAGATCCTGTAACTAGGCCATGGAGTGCTCCTCCAGGACTGGGAGACTGATTCAGCTGAAGGTGAAGCAAGTACTTTTTACCTACTGAGCACTGTCCTCAGCCTCCTCAAAATGTTTTCAACATTTGAGAGAATGTATGCCTTACCTCCCTCATCTAGATTTGAAGAGAGTAGTAGGAATTAAAAATTGGGGTGGCATCCTGTTATATTTGTTTGTCTGTTTTGTCAACTTGACACAAACTGGACTTATCTGAGAAGAGGAAACTACAACTGAGAAAATACCTCCATAATACTGTTCTACAGGCAAGCTTGTGGGCCATTTCTTAATTAGTGATTAATGTGAGCAGGCCCGGCCCATTGTGGATGGTACCACTCCTGGGCAAGTGGTCCTGGGCTCTATAAGAAATCAGGTTGAGTAAGTCATGAGAAGCAAGCCAGTCAGCAGCTTCTTCCATGGCTTTTGCTCCAGTTCCCGACCCCAAGTTTCTGCCCTGATGTCCCTTCATGACGGCTCCTGGTCGTGTCTGTAAGCGGAAACAAACCCTCTCCTCCCCAGTGTCCTATCTCAGGGGCAGAAACCCCAACAGATGGGATGACAAAACAGTAGGGGTGTAGAAGTTATGTTTTCATGTGAGGTGCCAGTCGGGCTTAAGAACTTAAATCTGAGGTGAGACAGCCTTTCTCTGAGTAAAGGGAAGAGGAAAAAGTCACGGGGTCTCCTATCTTGGACTTGTAGAAAACCGCCTTAAATTTATTTGATGGTGGATTCTGAGCAGGTCCTAGAAACTCCTTTCTAAGCTGACTGATTAAACAAACTGGAAACTGTTTTGGTGAAAAACTACAAGTAACTACTTCCTGCCTGTTACAAACTCAAATCCTTGAACTATTTCTGTTAGCTCCTCTGGATGTGAAGCATGGTCAATTTTATTCTTAAAAAGGAAAACAGCTCCTCCCCTCAACCCACTGAACTTCATGACAGAAGACAGAAGCACCATGAGGGTTTCCTGTTCTCTGTAACATCTCAAACACTGCCTGCTGGTTTCTGCATTCCCTTCCACGCTGTGATGGGACAGAGCCAACTATAAATTAAACTGTGAAAGAACAAATTAGCTACCTGGTAACTGGTTCCCTTAAAATCTACCCAGAAACTGGTTGTGGTGGTTCACATCTTTAACCCCAGGACTTAAGAGAGAGGCAGTTCTCTGTGAGTTTGAGGCCACCTTGGTCTACGTGGTGAGTTCCAGGCAGTCAGAGCTATATGATAAGACCCTATCTTTAAAAAAAAAAAAAATCTATCCTTAAAAAGTGCTCAAATACCAGGGTAAATATAAGTAAATTAAATTAAAGTAAATATAAGTATAAATTATTTCTTGACAAACTCGGTTAACAGCCTATTTATGAACATAAAACTCTGAATTTCTGTTTTCTCCATGGTCTGTAGGTTAATTGGATGGGGTACGTTATACTGCTGGTATCAGGAGCAAAGACATCTAAGGAAACATGATACTGCCATTGCTGGACCCTGAAAAAGTCTTTACAGGGATACTGATACTGCATTGAGCAACTCTTAGGAATAATGGCTCCATACTAACTGTGGAACCAACAACCTCTGCAGAACACCCCCAAGGTAACCCAAATCACTGTCTTTGTTAGACAGTCTCTGGTTCTCTGTAGTGCCGTAGTTGAGACTCATGTTGCCCAGGCTGGCCTCAAACTCACTCCTTCTGCTTCCCCTGCCTCCACCTTTGGAGGGCTAGGATTATAGACATGTGCCACCATACCTGTTTTTATCCAGGGCTGGTTGGGGTGTGTCAGGTATTTTGAAGCATTCAACAAAAGTTAAACTTTGGGGATTGGAAAATATAACTCAGCTGGTCAAATCTTGCTACACAGCATGAGGACCTGAGTTTGGATCGCCGGCACCCATGTAAAAAGCTGGGCACAGCAGCATGTGCCGTAATCCCAGTACCAGGGAGGTAGATGCAGAATTCCTTGGGTCTTGATGTCTAGGCAGTCTGGCCTAAACAGGTAAGCCCCAGGTCCTGGTGTGAGACCTTGTCTCAAAAAATAAGATGGAAAGTGATGCTGACCTCTAGTTTCCACATGTGCACATACATACACACATATTAAGTTTTTAATGTGTGTTTTTAGAGAGCATTAAAAAGTTCTTATTCCTCATTTTGCTTAATGTCACATTTTAAAACCAATTTCTAACTACTTTATTTTAGTTAAAATTTTCTATTTAAATATTGATTTGTTTTTATTGTGACCTTACATATTTCTGAGAAAGAATTCTTTTAGCTATAATTAAGAAATAGAGATGAAGATAATTTATAGTAAGAAAGCAGTCATCTGAATATGTAGAATATTTAAGGGGAAATCAATCACTGGAATATGCTTCTGAGCTATTTCAGGAGAAAAAGATAACATTTATGAGTTCTCTATCAAGTAGAACATGAATAAAAGACAGATAAATAATTATGTGGAAACAGTCTCTTTTTGTTATTCCCTATCAGAGAATAAAAGAGATTAAAAATCATACCTTGCAAAGAATATCAATTAAAGCAGGCACAGCACTCCTTAACTTCATAGCTGCCACATACTCAAATATTTTTAGTAATATTTTCAGAGCAGGCTGGATAAAAGAAACAAACAAGAATAGCACTTACTTCCATGTCTTTAGTGCACCTTAAATTTCTCAACTTCATTTACACTGGAAAATGTGTTCTCTGAGGAGTTTGTGACAGGCAGAAATTTAAGTGCTAACTTAACACACAAAGATGAGACCAGCAGAGTTGGTGCTCATGCATTTCAGATTACTCACCAGCATTTTAGTCATAATGCTGAGCTTCACGATCTGAAAGACTTCTTTCAATAAACAATGCTTGAGTAAAGAAATCAGAAGGTCATTTAGCACTTGTAAGTTGAAGTGTATCCCTGGGGGAAACTTTCTGTAGTACTCCAGAAATATGTGTGCTGAAAATGAAAAATAAAATTAGTCATTTGCTGTTCTTAAGACAGAAAAATAGATGGATTTTCTGTAAAGACATTATATAAATTCATTCCTTGAAAGGAACCAGAAATGTCAGAAATAACTAATGAAAATGAAAGCAAAAGGTCAAAATGGTAGTGACATCAGAAGTCAAGCAAGCATGCTCAGCATCAGTCTGCAGAGTATGAAGGCCACCATGGTCTCAATGCCTACTCCTCCTCAGAGCCTTACTCCCACAGGGTTCTGTCCATCCAGTTCCTTAACCTATTTTCTGTATAACACTTAAACTATTTTTACTTTTCCACATTAATTTTACTAAAATCAACTGAGATAACCTTATCATCTTTTTCCCATTCCAAAATTTCCTAGTCCAAATTTTCACATTTTAGCTAAAACTGCCTTAGCAAAAAATCACTTTTAGTTTTATGTTATTTCAACCACAAATGCTCATTACTCTCTGAATTACCCAATACTGTGGAAGTCACTAGATAATGAAAAAGTTCAACAAAACTGAAAAGTCAATGTTAAGCAGGTTTAAAAATATCATGTAATAAGGTTTGTCTATGTAGCTCTGGCTGTCCTGGAATTTGCTCTGTAGACCAGGCTGGTCTCGAACACACAGAGATCCACCTGCCTCTGCCTCCTAAGTGCTGGGATTAAAGGTGTGTGCCCCAATGGCCCATCCCATTTTATTTTTAATTATGTGTACATGTATGTTTGTGTGTGGGTTTGTGAACATGAATGAAATATTTGAGGAGGCCAGAAGAGTGCACTACATCACCAGGAGCTGGAGTTACAGGCAGTTATCACCCGCCCACCATGAGTGCTGGGAACCAAACTCTGGACCTTTGCAAGGGCAGTGCATGCTCTTAAGAACTGAACCATCTCTCCAAGTCCCTTGCAATTTACCTTGAAGTGATACATTGTAAGACACAGACCCAGATAGATTCACACACATACCCCAACTAAATTCAGATGTTTTTCTCATGGCCACTGATGCTTACATTGTTTTACATCTGAGGAGTTTCCCATAGTTCCCATCCTGTCCTTTGTGGTGATATATTGTATACCCCAATAAAGCCAGAGGATCAGAGGACAAAGTCAGCCACTAGATTAGACACAGAGACCAGACAGTGGTGGCACACACCCTTAATCCTATCACTTGGGAGGCAGAGATCCTTTTGGATCTCTGTGAGTTCAGAGCTACACTGGAAACAGCGAGCCAGGCAGTGGTGGCACATACCTTTAACCCCAGTGCTGGGAAGCACACACACCTTTAATCCCAGGAAGTGAGGGCAGGGCAGAAAAAGGTATATAAGGCACGAGGAATAGGAACTCACTCTAAAGAGACTGATGCTTTTTTTTTTCTTTCTTTCTTCGAGACAGGGTTTCTCTGCGTAGTTTTGCGCCTTTCCTGAAGCTCACTTGGTAGCCCAGGCTGGCCTCGAACTCACAGAGATCTGCCTGGCTCTGCCTCCCAAGTGCTGGGATTAAAGGTGTGCGCCACCACCGCCCGGCCGAGACTGATGATTTTGTAGAGGTAAGAACTAGTGGCTGGCTGTTCTGCTTTTCTGATCTTTCAGCTTTCACCCTGATATCTGGCTCTGTTTTTGTTTGTTTGTTTTTTGTTTTTTGTTTTTTTTTCTTTTCTTTTTAATTAAAAGGCCATCTAAGATTCAAACAACATCTTCTCTTTTCACAGGCTTTAGAATTGTTTCTGAAACTTGGAAACTCACCTACATTTAATCCCATCTAACTTCTTGGCTGTCACAGTCCCTGGATCATTCATTCCCATATTGGGTCCTATTGCCTCTAACTAACCAACTTCTTTATTAGACATGAGGGCCCTGGATGTTTTCAGAGGAATGAGTCTGAAGATGATGAACATGGAGCTGTAATGCTCTATTACTACTATGCTGTGTGGCTTTAGTGGCTGTGTCAGGGGACAAATGTATAAACTTTGGTTCTTATCCTCTTAGGGCTCATAATCCAGCACTGTGAGGGGATGGAGGCAAGGAATGGGGTGAAGCTGTGGACTCAGACAAGGGCTAACAGAGAAGGCAATCCTCTTGGTAAAAATAGAACCCTGAAGGCTACCCAGCTATTTGTCACGGGGAGAGAAATGATGGAAGAGTACCCTAGACAGACAGCATGGTGCCAGCAGGAATGAGGCACGGCACAGACCTCACTAATGGAGCTGTACAGAACTGACAGGATGCTGCCCTGGCAATGAGGGCAAATGTGAAAAAAGAAGGATAAAGAGGGAAGAGTCAGGATCTAAAGGAGCCTTGCATAGAGAGCTAATGGCTGATGAGCAAGATGCTTTCTCTTTTACATATGTAAGTGAAATTTCTAAGTCAAGGAATATTAGTACATAAGGGTGTTACATTGTTAGACAGACATAGATTTTATTTTTAATAATTTCTAAGGCCAACAGAGCCAATCTTAGGCGACATTCATTTTTCATACTTAGTTTGAAAATAAATTTTAAGTTTATTTTTTAATTAAAAATTATTGTGTATGTATATGCATGATGCATCTGTGTGGGTGCGAGTGTGGAAGGCAGAGGACAACTCTGTGGATTTGGCTCCTTCCACATTTAGGGGGATACAGGGATCAAACTCAGGCTGCCAGGTTTTCACAGCAAGCACGTTTACCTTTCTGGACTAATTTTAACACTTGCTGACACAACAGCACACATGTGGAGCCACTCCCAGTAATCTGTAATTATCATTCAGTCATTCCATACCTGCTCGCTGTAGCAAACGCTGCTCATTGAGACTTATGTATTTCCTAAAAACATCCATGCAGATCTACAAAAGTCATAAAATATTAAATCACCTTTACATGTTTTACAAGAAAACAGAAAGTGATGAGCTTAGAGCTTAAAATAAAAGTTGATATTCAAGTTAATTCACAGGCTTGAAATGTGTACTAGACTGACCTCTGCCTCCACCTCCCAAGTTCTGAAATTTAGGTGTGTGCCACTGTGTCTGGCTAATGGTCACCATGACTGTGATGTCACCAAGAGCTGACAAGGTTGGAATGCAACCAGAACGCTCTGACACAGCTGTGAGTGTGACCTGGAACAGCCACTTCAGAACCCATTCCACAGTATCTACTAGGACTGAACATACACAGTCCCTATGGCATAAGCACATTTGCCAGGAGACAAGAAAAGAATGCCAAGAGTATCACTGTTGTGTTATCCAAACAGGGAAACAATGCAAATGTCCATCAACCTTAATGTTCACTAATAGTTAATTTTGATAAACTTGAAGTGCAGGGAGAAGGGGCTAGCTAAAGAACCCCACCCTGACCTGGAGCCCAGAAACAGTGAAAAAAAAAAAAAACACAGCTTAAATCTGGGACCTGAGCCAGAGAAATGAACACTTTATCCCCAAACCCAGAACCAAAGAAACATGTCCTGACTCTGAAACCAGTGCCAAAGAAACACACTTTGTCCCTAGAATCAGAACCAGTGAAAGAAATATGCCTTGGTCTTAGAATTAGAACCAAAAAGCTAAAAAAGGCCAGTGAAGGAAACAGTTTGGTTCTGAAATCAGGGCCATCTCTGCCCCTGACCAACAAAACTAACCAATCTCTGAGCAGAAAAAAACTAACCAATTCATGGGCAGAAAAATCTTCTCCCTGGAGAAACTCTGTCCCCAAGAGATTCTATACAAACCACCCCACCTGTTCAGCTGGTGGCTGTTCTTTCCCACCCAGTTAGAGGCAGCCACTCCCCTGGACTCCTCCTTTCCAAATAAATCTCTTTCTCAAAAGAAAGATCTTCATTTACTGGTACAAAGAAGAACCTTGCTAAGATGTCCCTTAGGGGATTGAGCAGAAAAAACCTTGCAGAGACGGTCCCTTAGGGGACAGATCATGGTGGAGCAGAAAAAGTAAGTTTTCGCCTGAGCCGGAGGAGATTGCTACATTTCTGCAGGGTGTTCGCTTTAGCAGAGTGAAGCAAAAGCAGCAACATCTTGGGCCAGAGAAGAAGCAGAGCTCTGCTGAGAAGTCCCCTTAAGTGGGGGTTGAGCAAATCTCAGCTGTAGTGGCTCTCCAGGATAGGAGCAGGATTGCTATATCCTGTGGGGAGACCATGCCCCACTGCACCCCAGCTCCAGGTAGTCAGGATACCTTTCCCTCCAGAGCTGAGCTGTCGCATTGCAGCTCCAGCTGCCAGAGCTGTCCTAGCAGCTCAAGGTGTTGCCTGACTCCCTGAACAGTCAGGAGACCTTTCCCCCAGAGTTATATGTAATACTTGCTTACATGTAGAATAGAATATTAACTATTACACAGTAAGGAGAAAGAAACATTAACAACTAGATGTCAAAAATATTAAGCCAAAGTGGGCAAACCAGGCACTATGGTATGTACTTTTAGTCTGGGCTTCTTGGGAGATTGAGGCAGCAGATATTTGAGATCAGCCTGAGAAACACAGCAAGACTCTGTATAGAGTTACATATACAATTCATATAAAGATTAAACTCTGTGCTATTAGAGCATTATGACAATCAAATAAAATGCATGCAGTAAGACCATCTCCACCTCACACAGGGCTTTACCTTTTCATCTCCCTGCTCAGGCACATGGACAAATTTGCACTGTGCTCGCTCACAGCCACGTAATGTATTAAAATGAAATTTGCAGTATCTATAGGGTATCACCAACCCTAAGGGCTTCTGGAACACCTAGAAGATTAGAAAAAACCTTTTCCATGTTATTCATAAAACATGAATACAAATGAGGACATGTCTGAGTATTCTAATGCTTTAACATAATAACTAGTTCAGAATGATTTACCCGTAACTTTTATCAACTTCTTATATAAAAGATTCCATGAGGACTAGGACTGCTTGGTTTCATATTTTTTTTCTTGAGTCAGGGTCTCGCTATGTAGTCTCAGCTGGCCTGGAACTCACTATGTAGACCAGGTTGGCCTTGAACTCACAGAGATCTTCCTGCCTCTGCCTCCAGAGTGCAAGGATTAAAGTTATGCACTACCATTCCTGGCTTGCTTCACATTTTTAAAGACTTGTTTTTAGGACAATTTTAGGCTCACAGCAAAACTTACTGGAAATCACAGTAATCTTGTGGACTCCCTGCCCACCCATCTGTCTTTAAAAGTTTACGTAGGGGTCCTCTCTTTCATGCTCTCACTTCCTCTTTCACAGAAAGCTAGCTATACCATAGAACACATTTCAGATGCATTTATTAGAAACAAAACTCTCCTTGGTTCTTCTGATTAACAAGAGGAGAGAAATGATAAATCTGAAATTTATACAGCAGACATCTCCACAGCTGACATTCCCTCCTTCTCCTAGCTTTCAGCTTCAGAGGCTCCTTTTCTTATGCTTCAAGCCTGTCACTGGTGAACATCCTCTAAGTCAGTGTTTATTCTCTGCTGCTTATTCCTACCTAATCCTCACACAAAATCTGTGTGTTTGCAACTGTTTAAAAAGGGACTGGATCCTTCTGCTTGTATTTCCCTAAGTATGGGTTATAATTTACAAGATTCTTGCTTTTTAGGAGAGGGGACTTACCCCCATATTTTTTTCTCTTTTAAATATTTCACATGTTTCAGGATTCTTCAGCTGTAGGACAGAATGTCTTGCTGGAAATCTGAAATCTAGAAGTAGAAGAGCATTACAGACAAGCAGTGAACACTGACTTCTCAACAGTGGCAGCCACTCCTGTCTGCTTTAGTTTTCACTCTGGCATCACCTGCAATGTCTGCTGCCCTTAGAGGCCAAAAAAGGGTGTTTGTGGTAGTTTGAATAAGAATAGCTCAGACAGGCTCGGCTCACACATTTGAATGCTTAGTCATTAAGGAGTGGCACTCTTTGAGAAGGACTAGAAAATGTGGCCTTGTTGGAGAAAATGTGTTACTGAGGGTGGGCTCTGAGGTTTCAAAAGCCCATGTCAGGCCCGGTTCTTTCTCTTTCTGTTGCCTGCAGATCAGGATGTAGAACTCACAGCTACTTCTCCAGCACCATGTCTGCCTGCACACTGCCATGCTCATGATGATAATGGACTGATTAATGTAAGCAAGCCCCAATTAAATGCTTTCTTTTGTAAGAGTTGTTTTGGTCATGGTGTCTCTTTACAGCAATAGAACACTGACTAAGAGTGTTGGATCCCATGGGGATGGAGTTAAAGACAGTTGTGAACTGACATGTGAGCACTGGGAATCAAACCCATGTTCTCTGTGAGAACAACCAGTATTTTTAACCATGAGTCATCTCTCTAACATCCTCTTTTATCTTTTTGTTCCTTACATTTAAGTGTGTGTGTGTGTGTGTGTGTGTGTGTGTGTGTGTGTACATGTATCACATACATACTTGGGCATATAGCACATGTGCAAGTTTGGAGGTAAGAGTATAACTTGGAGAAATCACTTCTTTCCTTGCACCATGTTCCAGGGATCAGACTCAGGTGGTCAGGCTTGGTGGGAGGTGCCCTTACTGGCTGAGCCACCCCACACGCCCTGCTGTGGCACATTTTTATTCAATTTAGACGTGTACTGCCATGTATATTACTGTGACTTACATTTGAATATACTGTATACACTGAATGACTTACGTTTTGTGTTCCCTGAAACACTTTCAGACCTGAACTTAAAGTTTAAAGTTAACTATAGCTGCAGATAATTTTCTTAAAAGATGTAAGTATTCTTGAGCCCTAGTCCAGTAAAACACCTCACTCAAACCTTTCTTAAGGAAGAGTACTGACAAATCTATACTAGGAACTTGGCTGGGTCTTTGACAGATTCATAGCCTGAACCCCTAATCCTCAATGATGCCAGGGGCCCGATAAGCATACGCACCAAAGAATGTACTCTCTTTACATACTCAGAGAAAGACATACATGAACTCAGTAAGAGGGTGGCCTTTTGAGACATAAACAGGATCCTCAGAAACCCAACCTGCTAGAATCTTGGTTCTGGACTCCAGAATCATCAGGAATAAATCTCTATTTAGGCCCCCTAGTCTGTGGTACTTTGTTACAATACCTATGCTGATCAGCACAGCAGACACCACACTTTCTAATGGTGTCTTCCAAAAATTTAGTTTCATTATTTTTAATTGTGTACAGTGTGTGTGTGTGTGTGTGTGTGTGTGTGTGTGTGTGTGTGTGTGCATTTGCATACAAGTGCAGTGCCTGCAGAGGCCAGAGATGTTGGATACTCTGGAGCTGGAGTTACAGACAGTTGTGAGCTGCTTGTCATGGGTGCTGGGAACTGAACTCAGGTCCTCTGTAAGAACAGCAAGTAATCTTAAATGTGGAGTCATCTCTGTAGGCCTAATGGTGTCTTTTAAAACAAGAACTAGGACATTTAAAAACATTGTTTTCTAAAGGCAATTTTTATGTAGTATGGTGTGTGTGCGCGCACACGCGCTTGCTTGCCTCAGCATGTTCAAGGTGGTCAGAGTTAACATCAGGTATCTATCTTCCTTTATCAGTCTCTACCACATTTTTCTTTGTTGCTGATTTTTGAGCCACCATTTTACTATGTATCCCTTGCTGTCCTGGAACTCATTCTGTAGACCAGGCTGACCTCAAACTCACAGAGATCTCCCTGCCTCTGCCTCCGGAGTGCTGGAACTAGCATGCCCAGCTTCTACTTCATGCTTCTTTTTTTTTTTTTAAATTTTATTTTATGTATATGAATGTTTTGGCTGAAAGTCTGTGTGTGTGCCGTTTGTGTGCCTGATGTCTGAGAAAGTCAGAAGATGGCTTCAGGTCCTTAGAACTGGAGATACAGATGGTTGTGAACTACCATGTGGATGCTGAGAACTGAACCCAGGTCTTCTGCAAAAGCAACAAGTATTCTTAACTGCTGAGTCATCTCTCTATCCCCCACTTCATGTTTTTGAGACAGGGTCTCTCACTGACCTGAAGTTCATTGTTGCAGCAAGACTGGATAGCCAGTGAGCCCCTGGGACCTACCTTGTTCCTCTCCCCCAGTGTTGGGTTTATAGATGTGTACCTTCAAATCCAACTTCTACATGGGTGCTAGGTATCTGAATTCAGGTCATTATATTTCTTTTTTGTTGTTGTTTGTTTGTTTTTGAGACAGGGTCTCTTTATTATATAGTTCTGGCTATTTTGGAACTTGCTTTGTAGGCCAAGCTGGATCAGGCTAGACCAAGATCACAGAGATCCATCTACCTCTGCCTCCCAATTGCTGGAATTAAAGGCACATACCACTATATCTGGCTATCAGGTCCTTATGTTTGTGAGGCAAGCATTTACCCAATGAGCTATCTCCTCAGCACAAATATTTTTAATTCAATTGTTCATATTTTACCTCTGTAGCATCTGGATATAATCTGGAATAGGCTGAAAGTATGCTGCCTATGATTTACAGCAATTTACATTATGAAAGTTAGAAGGCTTTGAAATAAAACACACATTGCTGCAATGGCCTACAGTACCAGGTAGGATGAAGGGAGTACTGGGAAAGCTCAGAAGGGTGAGGTGCGTGTTATACAAAGTAACTTAAGTTTCTGAACTCATTCTTCAACAGAACTCATTTTGTTTAGAGAATTAGAGAATTCTGAATTATGAAAGATAACACAAATCCATATATAACACATATACAAGTATAATTAAATAAAAGATGAATATTTTAGGTTTTTCACACAATACCACTGTCACATAAACACAGGTATTTTTATTTCAGTAGCAATGACTTCTGTGAAATTTTTATATTACTTCAAGCTGACAAGAATAAGAAAACAAGTATTACCATTCATCCAGGGAATTGGTACTGCGTCTTCTTGATGACTGCTTAGATTCAAAGGAAGGACTGATGAGCAGAGAGGTTTGGGGTCCAGTGTTACTAACTGACATTCATTAACCACAGCCTCTGCATCTTTAGGATCTTTGCTGTATGAACAGAAAAACTGAATCAGAATATCAGCGTATTGAAAAAATATTACAGCAATGAGAATCAAGTAAGCAGAACTATAACCTACTGCTATGTATGTGCCATGTACTATTCTATATACTATAAATTATGATTTTGCAATATTTCTAATGGGGTGCTCCTGGCTTCCTTAAATTTTATTTTACTTAATAATTTATGGTTGATGATGATGTTTTTGGGAGGGGTGCATATGCCATAGCGAGTGTGTGGCAGTCAGAGGATAACTCTGTGAAGCCGGGTCTCTCCTTCCACCTTTATGTGGATTTTAGACACTAAACTTGGGTTTTCAGGTTTGTACAGCAAGTGCTTTTACCTGCTGAGCCATCTTGCTAGCCCAAGGTCCCGTCTTCTTAATATAAGACCAGTAACTGTGAAATGGCTGAGGTAGGGATAGGAACAGTGTATTATGGATTGAATGGGAAATGTTCTCCATGGGTTCATTTGTCTGAACACTTGGTTCCCAGCTGATGAGTCTATGGAACCTCTAGGCGGTAGGGGCTAGTAGGAGAGAAATGAGTGGCTATGGGGCAAGTCTTGAAGGCTACACAGCCTGAGTTTCTGCTTCCTGATCCACTGGGATGTGACCAGTTCTGTTATCATCTATTTGCCAAGAACTGTGCCATGTTTTCTCTACCATGAAACATCCTCTCATACCATGAGCCAAACCAAATCCTTCTTCCCCTTTGTTGCTTCTGACAGACATGTTGTCACAGTAACAAATGCAGTGAACAAAGGGTGATGTGGTTATGACCACAGCAATCCCGGTGTAGGAGGGAGGAAGCAGGAGAACCATGGGTTTGAGGGCAGTGTGGACTACAAGCAAGATCTTATCTCAAAAGCAAAAAACAAAAAGCCAACCCCCCAAATGCACACAAAAACCATTATAGCAAACCGCAAAACCACAACCACCACAACCACCACCACCACCACCACCACAACAACAAAAACCAAACTTTTTTGAGATGGCACATCACTATCCTGTTCTTGAACTATGCTGGCCTGAATTCCCAGGTCAAGTCACCCTCCTAGCTCAGCTTCCTGAGCGTGGGAACTACTGGAATATACCACTGGGCTTAACTGGGAATATTTTTATCATACCTGATGAAAGGTTCAAGGAATAGAAAGTATGTATTCTAAACAAGAAAAGGTATCTACTTAGTCTCCTGACCACAGAATGAAGCCAGTGCATCATAGCACAATTCCCTTATCCAGTTTCACACTTCATGGTTCAGTTACCCAGGATAAACCATAATGCTAAAATACTAATGGAAAACTCCAAGAAAAATTTCTAACTTTTAAACTGCATCCTGTTCTGTAGATTAGGATGGTATCTGACTAATCCTGCCTCATCCTGCATGGGAAGTGAACTTTCTCCTGCCAATATATCCAAGCACTGGTCAGTCATTTACCCACGTCGGTACAATTAACTGTCATTGTATTATACAGCTTGTATTCAAGGAACAACCCTTCAGTAGCAGCCTAACCCTGTATTACTCTGGACACTTTTGTTTTACTTTCTCTCTCATGTGGGCAGTTTGTCTTCTTGCATCATCACAAGATGTGACAGAACAAGCCAGTGTCAGAATTTGTACAGCATAGTGTTAAAATAGTTCTTTACTGTTGATCTCTTACTGTACCTAAGTTATAGAATGTATGTGTAGGAAAAAGCCATAGGGGTCGTACTATATGAATTTACAGATATCTGCAGGGTCTGGGAACTAGCTTCTGTGGATAAAGAGGAGCTACTACATAAATTTTTCTGGATAAGTATTTATATAAGATTTATATAATAAATCTATACCTATCTGAGAGTATTCCCTGGACAGAACCATACAAATATTACCAGGTTGAAGATATAAACAACTTCAACTGCACTTTAGTATAACTGCACAACAAATTTCATTAAAATATTAGCCTGGAAGTTACTTATATAGAAAAATAACTCAAGGATGTCTAAATGGCACAAATTAATTGACTTTTACAGAGAAAGGAACCAATATTTAGATAGTATAATCTTTTAACCTTAAAAACAATTATAAGCTTTTTCACTGGATTTACTTGGGGGGCGGTGGTGTTGTGGCAGAAGAAAAAAACAGTAAAAAGAAGGGAATCATAGCTGAATTTATAACAGCTGAAATTTAGTAGCATAAGGAGAATTTAAAAATTAAAGAAAGATAATCACTTTTCTCCTTGATTTAGGATATCACTGATCTATGTAGTCAACATTCTTCCCTAATAAAATGAACAAAAGCAGCAGCAGAAAGGTGGATGATGGCTGCTGAAGTACAGTCTTTCTGACCGCAGTAACACTACCTCACAGGAAAGAAAACTCAGCTTTCAGTGTCTGTTCTTGTTGAAGATCTGCAATGGCCACTGTGGTGGTTTGAATGAAAATGGCCCCCATAGACTCACAGGGAGTAGCATTATTAGGAGGTGTGGCCTTGTTGGAGCAAGTGTGTCACTGGGGGGGGGGGGGGGCTTTGAGGTTTCAGAATCTCAAGCCAGGCCCAGTGGCTCACATGCTTCTCCTGCTGCCTGGCAATCCAGATGTAGAACCCTCAGCTCCTTCTCCAGTACCATATCTGCCTGTGCACTGCCATGCTTCCTGCCATGATGATAATGAACTAAACCTCTGAACCTGTAGGCCAGCCCCAATTAAATGTTTTCCTTTATAAGAAGTGGCGTGGTCTGCTGGGCAGTGGTGGTGCACGCCTTTAATCCTAGCACTTGGGGGGCAGAGGCAGGTGGACCTCTATGAGTTCAAGGCCAGCCTGGCTTACAGTGTGAGTTCCAGGACAGCCAGGCCTACACAGTGAAACCCTGTCTTGAAACCCCTGGCTCCCCTCCCCCAAACTGCCATGGTCCTAGTGTCTCATCACAGCAATAGAAACCTTAACTAAGACAGCCATGAAGCATGCTGAGCTTCCATGTGATCTAACTCCCCTGCTCTGCTTCCATCAGGGTGAATTCTTATTGACACAGACTGGTGATGGGTCCTAGCCCCAGAGTTCCTGGTTCAGTAAGCTTGGGTAGGAACCTACAACTGAATTCTGACAAGTTCTCATGTGCTATTGCTGTTCTAAGGATCCATATGTGAACATCTTAGCCTGAACATAAATGGACTAGAACACATTCACCTTCTGACTTGGGTGTGCCTTGTCACAGCAGCTAAATGAGTGTGGAAGATGGTTTAGATGATGCACCAATGGGGCAGTTTGTACTGATGGCAAATGCATTCTCTTAGTATAAGTCATTGCATCCACATGCAATACTTGTTGAAAATGTAGTTTATTTGATTTCAGCCATTATGACTTGACTTTTATGGAGGCATACAGCTTTATCTGTTGAATTTATCACTATTTTTTAAATATTTCATTTTTAATTGTGTGTGTGTGTGTGTGTATGTGTGCAGGTGTCCTCAAAAGTCAAGAGAGGGTATCATATCCCTTAGAGCTGAAGTTACAGATGGTTGTAAGCCACTATAGTGGTTTGAAAGAAAATGGCCCCCAAAGGGAGTGGCACTATTAGGAGGTGTGGCCTTGTTGGAGGAAGTGTGTCACTGTGGGGGTGGGCTTTGAGATCTCTTTTTCTCAAGCTTCCCTCAGTGTGACTATCAGTTAACTTCCTGTTGCCTGCAACATATAGTACTCTCAGCTCTAGCACCACGCCTGCCTGCATGACACCATGCTCCTTGTCATGACAATGATGATGTCATGATGATAATGATGGACTGAACCTCTGAAACGGTAAGTGATCCACCCCAGTTAAATGTTTCTTTTGTAAGAGTTGTTATGGTCATGATGACTCTTCACAACAATGAAAACCTTAACTAAGACAGCCACCCAATGTGGGTGTTAGAAACTGATCTTGGATTCTTTTACAAGAGCAGCCACACCGGAGTCATTTTTCCAACACCTATCACTGTTTTTAATGGCTCAAAAACTTGCTGCCAAGGGCTGGGGGATTGCTCAGAAGGTGAAGAGCTTTCTGTGCAAGCATGGGATTTGGGGTACATAAATGCTGGGTAAATGTGTAAAAACAGGCTGGGAGGTGGGGGCAGGGAATCACCAGAGCAAGCTAGCTAGCCAGAAAAATCTTATCAGAGATCCTTGAGTTCAAAGGAGAGACCCCACCTCTCTATATAAAGTATAGAAGTATTGAGGAAGATATCCAACATCAACTTCTGGTCCACACATGCACACGCACGCACGCACGCAAACTCACACACATGTGCAGCTACATACATGCAAACATGTAAACACACACACCCATACAAAGAAGAATAAGAATAACCCCATTTTACTACCAGCTTTAAAGTAACTTAAATTACCTTTACATCTGGGAACAACTGAAGCACAAATTAAACCATATCCATGTGCATAGCTTATGGGATACTAGCCAATGATATACAACTGAGTTACAGTTACATTACAGACCTTTCGCAAACTTCCTGAGTATTCTCTTGCTCTTCTTTAATAGTTGCCTTGTCTGAACTGCTGCCCTGTGAAGAGATTATAGTTAAAGAAGTAGGCGTGAGTATTTCTGTGATACGTTTAAACCGTGAGGCCTGCCAGGGTTATTAGAACGGTGTGGGATATAATTTAACTATCAGATGGCCTGAAGACAGTTTTACTTTATATAATTTAACATGCTCAACAATGACTTAAAACTTCCTCTGGCTGCTGGTCATGCTGGCACCAACTATGTCCCCGTGGAGGCGAGAGGCTCAGTAGTTGTGCATGGCTATCCTAGCTACTTACTGAGTCTAAGGTCAGATCAGGCTAGATGAGACCCTGTCTCAAACAAACAACAAACAGCTCCAGACAAATGTAACACATTAACAAGTAGAAACCACTAGGGTGTGGCTCAGTGTCAGACCTCCTGTGCAGCAAGCCTGAAACCCTCTGTTCAGTACCCCAAAACAAATTAAAGGAGCAAGTGGAAAGATGTGTCATGTTCCCAGATGAAAATGTTGAAGATAAAGTGCTAATTCTCCAGAGTGCTTTTACACACCGAAAACTATTTCCAGCATGAGTTTGAAGCATCTTAGAATGTAGGAAAGGGAATCAAAAATGCTTTAGTTTTATAACACATTTTAGTGTGTTTTAGAGCCAGCTTTCCTCACTGCTTCTGTTTTCCTAATGACTGATGGGATGCTAAGTACCTGGGGGGAAAAAGAGTTTAATTCCACGTATAATATTTAAGATGTTAACGATAGGGCTGCAGTTAAATGCGCTGGCTGTTCTTCTAAAGGACTTGGATTTGATTCCCAGCATCCACATAGCAGCTCACAAGCATCTGTATGTAACTTCAGTTCCAGCAAATTGAACACCCATTTCTGTAGTGGGTAGCCATTCCAGCTTTGATCTGGAAGTTCCAACCCCCATTGAGGCTTCGGTAACTGTCTCGCCTACAAGGCGGGGCCAAGAGAGGACCCTGAAGACCTGAGATCCTGATACGCAGCCTCTCTTGGTTCCTAGACCCTGGACACTGGAGGTAGACAGAGCAGAGTTCTCCAGAGAACACCGCCGGACTGCGCTACATCTTTCCCAGACCCTGCAACCTACCCATCCCTTCATTTGTAAGTTACACCACTAAATAAACCTCCCTTTTAACTATGTGGAGTGGCCTTGATAATTTCACCAAAAATTTCCACTTTCCACAGTTACCAAGAATGTACATGGTTCACAGACATATGCAGGCAAAACAGTAATACCATACACACATGAAAATTTTTGTTTTTTTGTTTTTGTTTTTCAAATAGGGTTTCTCTGTATAGCCCTGGCTGTCCTGAAACTCACTCCATAGACCAGGCTGGCCTTGAACCCAGAAATCTGCCTGACTCTGCCTCCCAAGTGCTGGGATTAAAGGTGTATACTACTACTACCCAGCTAAAATTTTTTTAAAACAATATGTAAAAGACGGCATTTGAAATTTCTGAGAAAATGATTTGATCAATGGTAGAACCAGCTAGTTAAATTTATAGATGATAAGCATGATGCTGACTCGTTGTAAGTCAAAATGCCTTTCAGGTTCCTTTAAGATTTATTATATATATATAAAAATTCTGAAAGTAGCTGTAAGACCAGGAACTCTAAAACTACCAGAGGAAAACAGAGAAAACACTTCAAGGTATAGGAAAAGATAAGTACTTTGTCTACAGGACTCCAACACACACACACACACACACACACACACACACACACACACACACACACACACACACAGAGCTGAAATTTCAGAAAACAGGCAAAGAACAAATAGAAGCTCACAGAAAAATGACAATGACTTTTTAAAATGTTGAAAACTTACTTAAAAGAAATGTAAATTAAAACTAAAACAAAATCATTTGTAAAAATAAGCAGATGGACAAGTTTAAAAACTTAATTAGTTGATGAATTTGGGGAGAAAACAGCACTCTCAGCAACATTGCTGGAAGTACAAATCATAGTAACCTCTAGATTGACAATCTGACAATTCTAACTCTGGAAATTGAAAAAAATGCTTGGACATATGCAAAATACCTTATGCTTAAGGATTTATAATATAGCAAATATTTAAATAGCAAAATAGAAACAAGCTAAATATCCATCAATAATGCTACTTGTTCAAACATAGCCATATATTATATAACTGTAAGAACATGATATCTCTATGTACACTGAAAGGGAATACTATCCACTCTATCCATCAGTGTGGTGGTTTGAATGAGAATGACCCCTCGGCTTATACATTCAAATGCTTGGTCCCCAGGGAGTGGCACTGTTTGAAAAGAATTAAAGGAATAGGAGGTGTGGCCTTGTTGGAGGAGGTATGTTGCTGGGAGTGGGTTTTGAGGTTTCAAAGGCCATGTCAGGCCCAGTGTCTCTCTCTCTCTCTGCCTGCCTGCATGCTGCCATGCTTCCTACCATGATGATAATGGACTAATCCTCTGAATATATAAGCAAGCCCCCAGTTAAATGTTTTCTTTTATGACAGTTGTCTTGGTCATGGTATCTCTTCATAGCAACAAAACAGTGTCTAAGACAGTCAACAACAGGAAAGTAAGATAAAAGATGGCCCTCGCCGGGTGGTGGCGGCGCATGCCTTTAATCCCAGCACTCGGGAGGCAGAGCCAGGCAGATCTCTGTGAGTTTGAGGCCAGCCTAGGCTACCAAGTGAGTTCCAGGAAAGGCACAAAGCTACACAGGGAAACCCTGTCTTGAAAAACCAAAAAAGATGGCCCTCTAATGTCTGTAACATTCAAAAGTCTGTGATAGGCCCACTGTGGGAAGTAGCAGTCTTCCTTTTAGGCCAACCTTTCTGCAGAAAACTGTAAACTCTGCACTGAGTATTTTAAAACTTATGTCTGGAAATCCTAGAGCAAGGACAGCACCACACAGGCCCTAGCTGGAACTACTTTGAGAGGAAAACAAATTGTCCTATTGACACAAAGAAGAGAAGACAAGTCAGAGACTGAAAAGTAAAGGTGAGAACCCTGAAAAGAGGATAATCCAGGAGGTGAAGTCCCCAAACCGACATACCTACCAGCTCTAATCTGGCCTGTTCTCAAACCGTAATGCATCACCTTTCCGCCGTTGACAGTTCCTTTCTCTGCTCGGCTTTCCTTTAACTCCTTTTCACAAAGGGAAGCTTACCTGCGTGGAGTCTTGCTCTAAGGTCACGGTCACCACTCCCTTTATTCCATTTTGAATCAGACCTTTCTTTAAACTTTTTCTCTACTTGAGCACTGGACTTGCTTCCAACATTACATTTCTTGGTGCTCTTTTCTCCTCAAACTATGCTTTTGTATCTTTTTACTCTGTTTGCTCTTTTTCATTGTAGATCTGCATAACAGTGATCCCTAATAGACACATGGCACAGGCAATACTAGGCTGTCCTGAATCTCCTCTGCCAATGCCATTAATCTAAAACTCTTCAATTTAGCCTCTGGCAAACTTTTAGGACAAGGGCAGAAAGCAGCCACATTCTTTGCCAAAATATCACAAAAATGATCTCTAGGTCACTTACTTATATTTTTCCTTTCTGAAACCTCTTGAGCTGGGCCACCACAGTTCACATCACCCTCAGCACCACTGTCATCCATGTTCCTACTAGGATGGTCCAGTAAGTTCTACTTAATATGTTCAACTGCGTTTCTAGTCCAAAGTCCACAAGTCTTCCATAGTCCTCCAAAAAACTGCATGGTTAGGCCTGTCACAGCAATGCCCCAGTCCTGGTACCACCTTCTTAGTCATTGTTCTACTGATGTGAAGAGACACCATGACCAAAGCAACTCTTCTAAAAGAAAACATTTAATTGAGGACTTGCTTACAATTTCAGAGGATTAATTCATTATCATCATGTGGGGAGCATGTGGCTGAGAGCTTATATCCTGATCTTCAGGAAGGCAGACAGGCAGGCAGATAGGGGGACAGAGGGAGAGAGGGAGGGGAGAGGTGAGGGAGGGACAAATAGACAGACTGGGCCTGGTATAGGCCTTTGAAATCTTAAAACCCACTCCCAGAAACACACCTCCTCAAACAAGTCCACACCTATTCCAACAAGTCCATACCTCCTAATCTTTCCCAACAGTTTATTAACAGGGAGTTAAGCATCCAAATGTATGAGCTTATAGGCCAGTCTCATTCAAGCCATAATCCATACATACCTATGAGAGGGAGACTCCTAACAGCCCAGCTAGCACTGAAAGTCCTAAACATAGATTTCAACTCCCTCCTACTGCAGGGACGTAAGGTGGCAGCTGCTACACACTTCAGCAAAGGACACCCACTTATCTAAGAAATGAAAGCTTAGCTGCACATAAAACCCCTGTAGCCAGCAGCTTTATTTGTAATATCTCAAGCTGGAAGCCACCCAGATGTCCATCAGCAAATGAATAATTCACCAACTGTGGTACCCATACTGTGGAGTACTGCTGAGGGGTAAAATATCAAATTATTGATGTATAGAACAATTTGAATGAATAATCCTCAATCTGAGGTGATTACAAACTGCATGATTTAATTTATGTAACATTCTTTTCTTTTCTTTTTTGAGACAGGGCTTCACTGTATATCCTTGCCTATCCTAGACCAGGCTGGCTTTGAACTCAAAGAAATTGGCCTCAATCTCACAGAGATAGTAACATTCTTGAAATAGCAAAATTGTAGAAATGGAAACAGTGTTTGTTAAGGGTAAGGAAGGGCTGGTAGCAGGAAAGAAGTAGGTATGACTTGTGAAGGGTAGTTTTGGTAAGATGGATGTTCTGTAGTTCACTGCCAATGGACAGACAAAGGAAAGGGCTTCCTGAAGAAGATCCTGACGGCCCCAAAGTTGCCATACTCTACTACAGTTCTGCAGCATGACCACTAAGAGAAGCGAGGTAAAGGCACATTCTATGAATCTTCTTAGCGCTGCCAGTGAATCCACAGTTACTAGTTTCTAAGTGAGATGCTGCTGAAGCACACTTATGGTGAATTAACAGTACTGATGTCTTAATTATTAGATGATGTTTCCAGTCAATGGCCTCAGCATTGGTAGCACACACCTTAAATTACAGCACTCAGGAGGCTGAGGCAGGCAGATCTCTGAGTTTGAGGCCAGCCTGGTCTACAGTGTGAGTTCCAGAACAGCCAGGGATACACAGAGAAATCCTGTCTTGGAAAAAACCAAAAATAAATAAATAAATAAATAAATAAATAAATAAATAAATAAATAAACAAACAAATAAATAAAAATTTAAAATAAAAGAAACTATAAAGGGACTAGAGAGAGGGAGAGTTAGGAGCATTTGTTGCTCTTGCAGAGGACCTGGGTTCAGTTCCCAGTACCCATGTGACAGCTCATAGCCAGCTATAACTCCAGGGTGATAACTCTACCCTGAGTGTCTCTCTCCTTTTTTATATTCATCTGTACATCATTCACTGTCATCTGGGGATCCAAGACCTTTTTTTTTTTAGCCTCCACAGGTGCCCGACATGGACATATTACACATTACATACATTCAGGATAAAAATAAATCTTTTAAAAACTGTAAAACAGCACATTAAATCCAAAGTAAGCAGAAGAAAGGGAAAAACATAAATCTGAGATAAACAGGTAACAAAAAGTAGAAGAGAATCAGTGGATTCTTTGAAAATTATCTTGACAGTCGACAGTTCCCTAGCCTAGAGTTCAGGGAATGTAGAGGAGGAGCTGGAGTAGACAGGCTTCAGCGGCCTCTTTTTGTAAAAGAAATGGTATGTGAACATGGCAATGCTCATAATATCTATGGCTCTTCTGTGTTAGTGTGGCAGGTTAAGTAGATGTTGCAGTGATCCAATGGCCCACAAAGTCATGGAGTAGCATCTGAGCCATTAAAGGAAAAAGTTGTCTGTTGGTAGTTGTAGCACTGCTGAGTGTGGCCTCAGAAAAGATCACTGACACTAGACTTGGTCCTCTCGTTTGTAAAAGGAAATTACAGTACAAACCTCATATACAGTGAAGGTTAACTCAACAAGGGTGGGTTGTCCACACACTACATTTAAAGGATTGCCCCTTGCCCTGATTCTGGCAGATAACCTCTAAGCTCTTTGAATGTCTTGCCTTGTTAGTGTCTGTTTATTTGGGATTCTGGGATCATGCCATATAGTGTATGCTAATAGTGTGATTTATTTTAGTGACCTTGGATCTGTAATTCATATTAACTTGACTTTTGGTAGGGCTAGAGCATGATGGTCTAAGGACAGCTCAGCCTTTGTGACTGATTCTAATAGAAACTTCAACACTAGAGCTCAGGTGAATATTTCTGGCTGGCGATGTTCTTTTGCTACGCCACACACTGTTTCTAAGAGGAGTGAGTCTACTGTGGACTCCACCCTGGCAGCCTCTTCCCTTTGTTACTTATTCTTTCACTGCCATCAATGTAACCATGGGTGTAACAGCTTTACTAACCTTCGTGAGTTCCTGTGGCATATCAGTGACCCTAATATTTCTTCACATGAGGTTCTTTGGGGAACTCCAAACACCTCATAACATCATACGGATAATCTATGACAATCCCTGCTAGGTGTTTAACAGTAACCAGTAGCATTTAATAATGGCAATATGTGTTGTCTGTCCAACTGTAAAGCAAGTACTTCATGAACCCTTTCTTCTGTTTCTAGAGCACTTCCAGTACTCATATTCCCTATTCACTTAACAGTTTTCAGCCACTGCTCTCCAAGCTAGACTTTCAAGCATTACACAAAATGGACAAAATTCTTGTCTTTATGGGTTTTTTTCCTAGCAGGAGGGACAAAGACAAACAAAGTAAGCACAGGTATTTAGATGGGTGTACATGGTCTGAAAATCCAAGTCTAAAAACACTCTGAGATTTGAAACTTGGTAAGTGTCAAAATGATGCTCTAATATTTTGGGAACATTTCAGAGTTTTTTTACACAAGCATTCCAAGGCTGTGAGTAGTGGTGCAATCTTAGAGGCTAAGAAGACTGTCCAGTCTGAGATGAGCTGGACTGCAAAGTAAGACACTATTTCAAAACAAAACCTATCCTAAATTATAATATAGAAACTCTGAAATAGGAAATAGTTCTGATTTAGGCATTTCAAATAGGGATACTCCACCTGTAGTATATGCTATGTCAAGACAACTGCAAGAAGGTGGGGTATGGAACAGGGGGAACACTGCGATTTTAGGTTCTGGCCAGTGAAGGTTCCCCCACGAAGAACATCAGTACGACAAAACTTGAAGGAAACAGGAGCACTAGCCACATCATCTTCTAGGGGAAGAATACTTTAGGGAGACAAGATTACATGGACAGGGCCTTGGAGCAGAACACATCATGGCATGTCTCAAAAACAAGCTTCGAGGGTGGTCAGAGATAAATGTAAAAGGAAAAGCAGGGAGATCAGAGGTGACAGAGTGAGGAGGTTTCAGGGCAGACCTGGAGTGAGCTGTGTGGGTCATCACAAAGACTTTGGGTTTGCCTATGAAGAACATTAGAAGCTTTTGGAGAGTCTAAGGCAGAAGAAACAATGACACAAGGAAACCTATGTTGTACTGAGAACACCTTACAAGAGGGCAAGGTTCCAAACAGGTCAGTTAGGAGGCTATTGTAATCATTTGTATAGTACACAATATGGACCTGGGTAGTATTGATAGGATGGTAAAAGCAGACAGTTTCTAGACATCATGTGAAGAAAAACAGCAGCATCTCAATGTATATGGTGTGAGGATAAAAATTAAGAAAGCTAAGATTTTGAGGCTGAGTAACTGAGAAAAATGTTGTTGTCATTAACACAGATGGGGGCTGGTTTGTGGTGTAGCGGGAGGGGATACAGAACTGAGAAGTTTTATTTTTAGCTGTGTTTAGTTTCAAATGCCTAAGTGGGCATCCCAATGAGCAAGCAGGTGATGAGAGAAAGGTCTGTAGTTCAGAGGAATCTGAGCTAATAATAGAAATGTGAGGGAGTTAGCATATACATTTATCGAATAAACTTGGATGGGACAATGCAAGAGAGTGAATCTAGGCTGAAAAATCACGTTAATGTGCAGAGATCAGGGAGACAGAGGAAAACAAAAAACAAAAACACACCAAACAGAGAGGTAGCAGACAAAGGAGAGTAAGCCAAGCAAGTATATTCATTCTGGAAACCAAGTGAAAAAAGGTTGCAGAGAAAGTGAGAGATGAGGATGAAGGCATAGACATACCCATCAGATTCATCGGTCGGTGAGGTATCATTGGAGATGTTACAAAGGGTACTTCGAGTGGAAGGTTGAAGACCTTTGCAAACTGGAGATGATGAGTACAGAAGAAACATCTTGAGATTCGGAATCACAGATTAAAGGGGTTCTATTAAAGGCTTTGTTCTATTTAAAGATGAGAGAAAGTATATTTGTGTCATAGTGAGAAAGAGTTAATAGTGGAGGAAGAGGAGCTATATCTGGATAGTGCTTCCCCTGTACCAGGAGAGAAGCTGGAGTACTCAGAGGGTGCAGACAGGTGCTCTAATGTACTGGTGGGAGCTTACAATGTTCTTTTCCATTTATTTCAGTTTCTTGGGTGAAGAAGGAAACAAAATTGTTAGCTTTGTAGATGATTGAAAAGCAATTCAAGGCTTAAGGAGAAAGGGTATAAAATAGTTGTTTAGAAATCAACTACATTATGCAAAATGTACCAACATTATCAGGCAGAATTTTATTTTATTTTTTGAAGTACTGGGGATGAACTTAGGGCCTTGCAAATCCAGACTAACACTTTGCCATTGAGCCTCAGCCTTAGGCAGGAAATTTAAGAGTCTGATATCAAAGATTTTGCCAATATTGTATATAATTTTGCAGTAAATTTCAAGATCAATTTAGGCCTACCTATAATTCCTATGCTTTCTACATTTGTGGATATGTAATTGTTATTGACATTCATGGCCCATAGGTACTATCACATTCAAAAATTTCAGGGAAGATCAGATAATATTTAATACTGAGGCAGGAGAATATGTATCATTGTATTTTAAAAGTCTTATGTAAGTTTATGGCAACTTTAGGATATGAAGAGGCTCATATAATTATACACATATTCTACCTCTCTCAGGAATTTTTGTTTATATTATGCTTACACAGAGGACCAAGAGACCAGTCACCTTGCCAGAGTGATGTGGCACTCCTAATGAGCAAAAGTATTTATGTTTTTCTCTTCACAGCATTGTTGAGTGGATTTTTGCATTAGTATTACCTAAGACCAAGACATAGGCAAATATAAAAGCTTCTTTGGTACCTTTGCATCTGAGTCTGAAGTTCTCGCTTGTTCACTGAGGTCTCCGAGGCTTTCACTTACAACAGTCTCCTCAGTAGCTTCTAAGGAGATGGCTGCACCTTTAGGATCATGTTGTGGCTCCTTTGCTGAAGAGAAACAACATTCAACCACACAAACTTTAAACCAAATAGCCAAAGACTGTTCCATAAAACCCAGAAGTCAGAAGCACTCAAGTTCTAACATGACAAGTACCAAGTTAGAACTTCAGCAAATTATGTAATTCCCTATTCATTACCAGAATGACTGCACTCTATGGTATAAAATGTAGCTAGAGTTTTCCTGAAGATTCCTGCAACAATAAAAAGAACTGACAATGTAATATTTAAGAACCTTTATTATGTCCCAGCCATTTAAAAATATTTTTGCTGGTGTATGCCTTTAATTTTAGCACTTGGAGGCAGAACCAGGCAGAGTTCCAGGCCAGTCATGACTACATAGTGAGACTCTGTCACAAAAAAACAAACAAACTCTACTTTGACATTTATTTATTTATTTGTTTGTTTGTTTTTGAGACAGGCTTTCTCTATGTAACACTGGCTGTCCTGGAACTCAAGCTGGCCTTAAACTCACAGAGATCCAACACAGACCAAGCTGGCCTTAAACTCACAGAGATCCACCTGCCTCTGCCTCCTGAGTGCTGATATTAACAATGTGGATCACCACGCCTAGCACATATTTATGTTTTACTTTGTGTGCATGCACTCACGGTTCATCTGTGGAAATCAGAGGACAACTTGCAAGACCAGGTTTGGCACCAAGCACCTTTACCTACTAAGCCATCTTACTGGCCCTAAAAACACTTTTAAAACTCAAAAGTCAAATAGGAGTTAACATCCACATTGTTGTGACTTAGGCATCTAAAATTATGATTAGCTGTTAGTTATAATTTTTTTTTTTTGAGACAGGGTTTCTCTGTGTAGCTTTGTGCCTTTCCTGGAACTCACTCTGTAGCCCAGTTGGCCTCGAACTCACAGAGATCCGCCTGGCTCTGCCTCCAGAGTGCTGGGATCAAAGGCATGCGCCACCACCCAGCAGTTATAATTTTTAATAACCAATTTAGGATATGATAAAGTTAAAACATGTATTTCAATTTCAAAATAAGTCTGGAAGACTCTAGAGGTCAGCCACCTATCTTTTATAGAGAATGCATAGCATTAAAATGGAAACTGGTTTGCCAACTCATCAGTTAAAAATGGGAGACAACTGATAAACTCTGTGACATTTGTTTGCAGATGTTAAGAAAAAGTTTCCATCCTAATGAATCACTGAGTAGACCTGACTAGGGACATGCAGATATTACAATACCAAGTATTCTTCAAGTATCAAATTTTACCTGCTGACAAGGAAGGACAGATCTCCGGTTTCAGCAATCCAGGGTCCAGCAAGGCAACTTCTTTACTATAAAGCAAACAAAACTCAAACACTGTACCAGATTCCAGCAGAACTATTCAATCATGAAAGCACTGTGTAACATTTGCTTCTGTGGTTGGTTAAGCCAACAGGTTCTCCAGGACTGAGGAGTGACTGCCCTGGGGTTCAGAGACCAGCACATCTGTCCTGGGTTCTCACTGGGCGATTTATTCACAAGTGTGCTGCCACTGTTAGAGAGTGCTACCATCACATCTGTGAAGGACAAGACAGACCAGGCATTTCGAAACTTTAAAGGATTGCACCAATGCAAGAGAATGTTTAGCTTCTACTCTCAAACATATGTATGTATATCTTGTTCCTAGTATAAAAAAAAGACAGCTGGCCATTTAATCTTGGCACTGGGGAGGTAGAGGCAGGCAGATCTCTTGAGTTTGAGGGCTACCTGGTCTATCTACAGAGTGAGTTCCAGGACAGCCAGGGCTACACAGAGAAACCCTGTCTCAAAAAACCAAAACCAAAACCCAAAACCAAAAACTAATTAACCAAACAAACAAAAAACAAAACTGCCTTAGTGGATTTTGAGGTTCTTTCAAGACTGCTTGAGTGGATTTTGAGGTTCTTTCTTTCTTTGCCTGTTTGCTATTGTGCCTAGGTAAAGCTTGTAATCTAAGGCTAAGGTTCTGGAGATCAGAGTTAGACCACTCTGGGTTCTTGTTTTATCTGAGATTGACTGATTTTTCTTTTCATCTAATCACATCAATAAGTGAGAGTAGCACTTGTTTGTAAGGTTACTGTGAGGCTTCAATGACATATTCTTACATTCAACAAGCTTAACAAATCAAAACCAAATATGGGAGGCAATCAAACACATATGGACAAACACTATTCCATTTTTAAAATTCAGACAAACTTAATACATGAGAACACACACACACACACACATACACACACACACAATAAACACCATTTTCCCTCCAATACCACAGTTGTCAAAAAAGGAATATATAGACCCACCATCTGCCTTAAAGTGATGGCAAACAACCTAGGCCCTGTCTTCAGGTGGCTGATAGCCAGTGGGTCCCTCTCAACAGTCAATGGCAGATTGATTTCTAGTTCAGAATATATTAAGGAAGTTCAGGAGTATTAATTGGGCTCTTCTCACAATAATCCATAAGACAGTTGAGCTACTAAGAGTGAGAATGGAGATGGAAAAGCCATGAGAGAAAGGGCAATCATGAGGTTCAATAAAGAACTACATGATGTTTCCAGTTTCTACTTATCCATCTGTGAACAGTACAGCAAGCACACAGCTTTAATTTCAAAGTATTAGGCTGTACTTATACTATTAGTATAATTTATAAGAGGGAGAAACTTTTCACTATGAATTAACTTGAAAAATAAAATTGTACCTGACATTCTTAAAAGCAGTTTGAGTTCAAGATACACAGAGATTAAATTCACCTAAATTTAAAAAAATAATAAAGTTGGGGCTAGGAATATAGCTCAATGGTAGAGTGCTTCTCTAGCATGTGGGGTCCCTAAGTTTAGTTTCCAGTACAGTAATAGTAGTGATGCTAATGAGAGAAAAACATTACTATTTTATATGTGTGAAATGAAAATGTTAGTTCTACTCTGGTGGAGGAGGAAAGAAAACCTGAAGGGCATAAGGGGAAAGGAGAAACAGAGTCAAGTCAACTCCGAAGAATTACAAATTCATCCTCCGCCATAGTGCTATTTGACTTGACTAATTCCCATCCAGATTTTTTTTTCAGTCCTACGTGGTCTTGGAACTTGTTATGTAGACCAGACTGGCCTAGAACTCAAGAGATCCATCTGCCTCTGTCCCCCCAGTGCTGAGATTATAGGTGTGCACCACCACTGCTTGGCTAAGAATTAAAATAAAACACAAACCATGAGACTGTATCACTTGTAGTAAGAAAAACACTACAAACCTATGGTTTCACATATTTATATGTAATGGTCTATAATATAAAACATTACTATAGGTAACTGGCAAAAATATTTGAAGATGACTGTTTTAGGATAATTATAAACAAAAAGTTTAAAACTGTCCAATGAAAGCAAAAAAAGGGGAAATGTGGTGGTATTGTGTTCCCCAAAATATTTTGCACCTTAATAAACTTATCTGGGGTCAGAGAACGGAAAAGCCACTAGACAGAGAGGCCAGAAAATGGTGGCACTCACACCTTTAATCCTAGCCTTCTGGAGGCTTGAATCTCTGTGAGTTCAAGGCCACATAGGAAACAGCCAGGCATGGTGACACACACCTTTAATCCCAGGGAGTGAGGGCAGAAAGCAGAAAGGTATTTAAGGCGTGAAGACCAGAAACTAGAAGCTTTTGGCCGGTTAAGCTTTTAGGCTTTTGAACAGCAGTTCAGCTGAGATTCATTCAGGATGAGGACACAGAGGAAACAAGATCAGCTGAGGAACTGGCAAGGTGAGGTGGCTGTGGCTTGTTCTTCTTCTCTGATCTTCCAGCATTCACCCCAATAACTGGCCTCAGGTTTGTTTTTATTAATAAGAACTTTTAAGATTCCTGCTACAGATGTAGCTGGACATAATGGCACACACCTTTAAAACCAACACTCAGGTCACAGAGGCAGAGGCAGGAGGCATGAGTTTGAGGCCAGACTGGTCCTTAGGTGTTTTGTTTTGAGACAGGGTCTCACTATGAATCCCTGGCAAGCCTGGAACTTATTATGGTAATGATCATTCATTCATGTGTTTATACGCTATCTCTGGATAGGACAGTCACAGATAAACTGTAACAATGGTCCTACAGAGAACGGTGAGATAAGCAGAGAAGTGCCCCGTGTTCAAGTCACTGGGCTTGATGCCACACTACGCAGCGCTAGGCCTTCTGACACAGTAAACCACCACTAAAGTATAATACTGTTTCCTGTAGCAAAGATAGTAAATAATGGTTTGTGTGGCCTGAAAAACAGTTAAAAAAAATCACAATATCTTGTGCTATCCCACCTACTATCTTAAAGAAAGAAAAATGATTAAAAGCAAAATAAACATTTATAGTAATTCATAGACTAATAGAATGAAAGCCACAGAGGGACCCAACATTCCCCTCTCTTGGAATGCTATTTTGTGAAGGGAATAGACTTCGGTGCAGATTACTGAAGTCTAAAGTTCAGATTTCAGCTCTGACACTTAGAAGCCATGCTCATTGGAAAATTAGTAAATCAGTGGCTTTAGTTCAATTATAAAAATAAGGAGAATTTCTTTCCTTTTTTTTCTTTCTTTTTTTGAGACAGGGTCTCTGTAGTGGTATTTGCTCTGCCCATGACCTTGGGCTATATGGCCCAAAGGAGGTGGTGCTTCCTGCCCTTGTATCTCTTATAAGGAGTTGGAGAAGGGTCACATGCCCCTTCTCACTGCTCCTGCCTGCGAGGTAGATTCATTCCCAGTTAGATCAGAGGACAACTTCAGCTGTCTACTCCATTCTGTAATTGTGAGTGTATTTTCTCAATTTATATCTTAATAAATTCTATTACCCATTTAGTAGACTCACATGGATTGATTGTAATAGGTCTCACTATGTGGCTCTGGCTGTCCTGGAACTCACTATGTAGACCAGGCTAGCCTTGAACTCATAGAAATATACCTTGTTTTTTAAATGTAGGAGGTGAGGATCCAAAGTCAGGTCCTTATGAATATATAACAAGCACTTCAACAACTGAGCCATCTTCCCCTCCCCTCACTCTGCTTCCTGGATACCAAAAGTTAAGCTGTCTTCTCCCACATGCTCCCATCACCCTAAAAGCCTGCCTCTTCAAGCTCAAAGCTATAGACTGAAACCTCTGAAAACCTTTTTCTTTTAAATTGTTTCTCTCAGGCATCTGTCACAACAGTGAAAAGGCCAATACAAGCCCTGGCTGCCAACCCAGTGTTACGCTAAAATACTTCCCATTCATTCTTTGATTCAGGCCTCATAATCCTGATGGAAATTCTTTCTCTTTTCACAGATAAGGTTAAATTTGCCTACAAGGTTACACAGCTCTTTGGCAACGATAAGTTAGGACACCTAGGCAAGGCTATAAAGGTAAAGCTCTTTAATACTAGTTTTAAAATTAAGATACGTCTGGGCTCAAGTCCAGTCTCCTTTACTAGCAGTGTGACCTTGGGCAAATGACAATTTGTCATTTTCCTCATCTCTAAAATGGGCATATTAGCAACCCATCTCATCACATAGTAAAGTAGAAAACATTCAATTTGCTGATAAGTTACAAGTTCTCAAAGCACTAAGAGTATTGGAAGAGCACAATATCCCAAAGGCAATTATAAATACTAGAAACTTAAGCCACATGTCACAGAATCTCTGTGGGAAGTATTGTCATGTTTACTCTTTCATCTATTCATGAAACATTCTAGTATTTAATTAAAGCATACAAATACAAACCAGAGCTTAAAGAATTATAAAAATATAGTCAAATGTGATATTACCCACATTTTGTACCCACCAGAGCAGGCCATGTTCCTGAGTGCCAAGGTTATTACTAGCCATAGTAGAGTTGGTTCAGGTAAACTAGTCCTATCAGGGCAAGGCAATTTAAAACAATTATCTTAAAAGTCAAGTATAAAACACATTTATATTATTTTCTTCTGAAAATTAGTTTAACTTTTGATTCTACCTCCAAGTCTTATTTCAAATAAATTTCAAGGCTTCTCTGTTCCCTGAAAAATGATTAAAAAAAAAATCTAACAAGGAATACCCAGAAAATGGGCTAATTCATTAGTAAACTGGCTCAAATGAGCTTAGCTACATACTTAATGAAGATCATGAAAATAAACTCAATTGATGGTCACTTTATAAATTATTTTTGATTTTAAAAACTAATTTCCTTTGTATATTTCAAGAGACATAGATCCTTTACTTTAGCATAATGAAAGTTTTAGCTATTACCAGTGATACACTACATTTAATAAATATTAAAAAAGGAGCTTTGACACAAGAGAGTGCTTTGAACTGCCAACAATCATCTGAACCAAAGGCATTCTTGAACATGCATACCTCAAATCACCTGATTCTTTTGTCCCTGGAAGTTGCATGGGTTTAAAGTCTGCTGGTGGATGCTCCTCGGGGACACTGGGCTCCTGGCTTATCTTGGAGTCTTCTGAAGCAAATGAGAGCTCCCCTTCACTGGAGATTCCAAAGAGGTCCGGGTCATCTTGAATTACATCAATCAAGAGGACATCATCTTCATATGCTTTAAGGATATCTGGAAACCCCAGTTTGAGTTCTGAAATGCTTTTAGTCATTTCTCTACCACGAACTTCAGAAGAAACTGGCACAAATGCTTCTTGTTCCTTAGAGCAGAATGAACTTTGCTCAATATACCCAAGATCACAAGAAAAAGTATTATTTTCAATTTCAAGAGAAATAGACTCCTTATTAGAAAAAATACTGTCTGGTTCAGAGATGTGATTATATGCTTTATTATCATAACATTTCTTTGCAAAGCTTGGAGAAATGCAGGAATTCTTATTGTAGAAGGAGTGAGAACTAGCTTGCCCTGGAATTACACTATTATGTATATTCAAAGACTGAGGTCCTGAAGTTGCTGTGCAGATATTTTCCTTATTCCTGTTTTGTTTTGCTTCTATTCCAGATAAACTGTCTAGTAGCTCTAGGGGGCTGTAAGCTTCTCTCTCACATGACCTGGCATTTAATTCTTTTCTTTTTCCTGTCTTGTTCTTCAGTAAAGGGATTTTAAAATTAGTCAGCCGTCCTGTGTTTAATATTTTAACCAAGTCCGGAGCCACAAGTGTCTGCTTACTAATGCAAGCTTTTCGATGAACAGTTTTGTTTGCAAAGTTATTTGCTTCCTGGCTCTCTTGGGATGACACTGTCAAATTAAGTTTCGATAAATTCCCTCTCTTTTTCTTATTTCCTGTTAAGCTTTGAGTTACATTAATTAATTGGGTGTCTTCAGTAGTATTAGGAACTACCTCTGTCCCATTTCTGCTGGGTTCCTCTAACTTTATCTTTTTATCACTGGGTATAGCTTCCTTTATAACCATCAAAGTAGGTTCTGCTGAAGAAACTGAAGACAAACAATTTAAATCAGGGTTGTACATTTCTTTACTTGAGGACTCACTGGTTCCTTCTGTTAAGGACTGTTGTAACAGTTTGGAGTCAGTTAAGTGAGTTTCATTCACTTGGTGTATGACAGATTCATGTTGCCTAACATTTTCCACAGACCCTGGAAGCGAGTAATTTAAATCTGACAGGGAAGTCTTTTTCCAACACTGGGCTGATATTCTAGCACAAGAATAAAAAGGCCAAGTTCTTTTACCAGTCATTGGTATTATTCTGCGACAGCTTACCTTTGACTCTTCAGTTTCATTTCTCAACTCTCCCCATGGAGATCTTTTTCCCATATGGTGACCATCACTTGGTGATTTCACTGCAGAGCTTATCATAGATTTAAAATATTCTTCTGGCTCCATACTTCTGCATCCTAAGGACTCTGAAGCGTTTTTTCTATCTTCTTTCAAATGTGAATCAAGGGTTTTCTGAAACACAGCATTTACCTGATGTCTGGGACTTGTTTTCCCTACTGTTTCTGGGAGACATAAATGGTCCACCGGAGAGAGTGTGTTATGGTTTATTTTTTTTAAAGCTTTTAGAAAACTCTTTTTAGGCTCTAAGGTCTCTGTTTCTTTCCCTTCCACATCCATTTGGTTTTTTTGTAACACCAACTCAGAATTGTTACACACATTAGAGAAATTAAGATCAATAATTTTTTCTTCTTTTTCAGACAATTTCATCTTTTTCCTGTGTTTTCTTCCAACACTGCTCTCCTCTACTGAATATTTGGTTTTTTCACTTTGAAGGCAAGAAATCAAGCCATTGCTTTTACTTTGGTATAAATGACTTTCTTCAAGCAGTAACTTACTGGCTATTGCATTTTCTTCAGTTTTTAAGAGCTTAGTAGTAGTTTTTGTGTCATTCTTCTCCACAAGATTCCTAAGGTTTTCTTTCTTTAACTTCGAAGAGTTCTCTGCTATGTGCATACATACACCATGAGGTTTATGTTCAAAGTTGTTTTCATTATTAAGACCCTCAGAATGGAGGAAACTGTAATCATGGGATTCAAAACTGCAATTTTTTTCCACTCCAGGTGATAAGCTGTTACAAGAATATTTTGGAGTATTCTTGTACAGTTCATCTTGGAAGTCAACCTTAACATTTTGTGTTGCCTCGTTCTTAGTTATTTTGAGAGGTGGATTTTCTAAACTTTTACATTTTTTAATTCGAATTCTTCTTTTAATACCTTCTACCAAATCTTCCTTAGCCAAAGACTGTAAGAAAGCCATATTCTGAAATTCACTGCACTCCACTGTTGGTAAAGATTCCGAACTGGTTAATGATGCCTTTCTTACCAGGTCAGTCCCTGGTGGTGGACCATCATTTGGGGCTTCAGTAACTTTTCTTTTTTCTTTGGCTGATCAAAACAAGAAAACATACCAGAAGACATTTTTACACTGGGCAGAAAAAAGCAACACCAGTTAACAGAAAATCTGTGAAGCCATCCATTTGTATTTCCCTGAAGAGCTGCTTAGAAATACAAACTGATTTTCATATTAAATATTAAAAAATTTCAAACCGGTTTCATTGTATAGCTCAGGCTGACCCCGAATTTGAGATTCTCTTGCCCAGCCTCCTCTTTTCGGGATTATGAGTGTGCATCACCATGGCCAGCTTTGAGACCTAATTAAGAACTACGAATAAACTTCTATAATCTCTAAAGCAGCAGAAAATCCTTTATAACATAATTTTATCCTAGTTAAGATAACCACTAGCATTCATTCCTTCCACAGCAATTACAATGACAGCTCCTAAATGAACATATACTTTTATAAGAAAATCCTTTGCACCTCACCTCTCATCCATCACGTGCATTGGTAGATACCAACAAAATCAACTAAAGGTTAGCAGTAAAACAAAGACGAGGCAGCTGAGGTGCAAAGGCTCGGGGCGTGGCCACCAGTTTCCTAACCGTGTTCGGGGTGGAAAGGGAGCGCCACCTCCTTCATTGCGCCTATGCAACGAAGGTCCACCTGTTCCCCAGCCCCTCAGCTCGCTGCCTTCCAGCTGTCTCACCCAGCTTGTCACCTTCTGTCTCTTCTCTCCCAGAAGCCTGGGCCACCACTCTCCTCTTCTGCCTGCTCTCCTCCTCGTGCCCCTTGGCCTCAAGCCTGCAGCCTCCCACCTCGCCTGACTCTGGCGTCAGCGGAAGGCTTCGCTTCCTCAGGCCTCGGGCATCGCCTTCGCGCCCTGGGGCCGTGGTGGGGCCTGGGGGCGGCGTTGGTGGCCGCATTTGCCCGCTGCCGCCCACCCAGCCTCTCTCGGAAGCCCGGAAGCCCCCAGGCCTGAGACCGCTGCTTCTACTGCAGGACACAGACTACTGCCCGCCCTGGGCCTGGTCTGGCTGCGCGCCGCCTACCCGACTCAGCAGGAAGCGGAAGTGAAGCAGGCTGGGCTCGGCTGGGCGCAACCGGCTGGGGGCCTCGCGGTCCGCCTGACCACATGCTCCCTCGAAGGACCTTCGCTGCACCTGGAGGTGACAGGGCCTCATTGCACGGGTTTGTGGTTGTGCCCCCTTGGGCCTCTCTCTCCTTCCCCCCGACCTGAACTTCTGGAGGTGCCTGGGCGCCTTCTCCCAGCAACCACTCCTCACCCTGACTAACCGTTGTCTGCCAGTGGCTTCTAACTCTTAGTCTCCCGGGATCCCACGGTCGCCTCCTTCCCAATACCTTCATTTTCACACAGCAGCTAGCCCAGGGGCACACCAGCTGCAGACATGCAAAAAAAAAAAAAAATCTCTGAAAGATCGCTTCTCTTCCGTTAGTGGATAGAAACTTCTAAATGTTCATCTGGATTCCTTGCACATAAATTTACCAAGTCTACTCGATTCCACTCTCTGTGTCTGTTACTTCTCTTCCTCTCCCTTTGCCATTAATATGCCTCTGGCCCTCAGACTTTGAACTACAGCATCACACGTCTACATTTTATTGTTGTCTCTATCCTTGTACCAGTTCAAACTTGACCAGCTTGCCAGGCCAATCCTCTCCACTGAAAGAGGATCCTGGCATCCCCTACCTTGACCCTTCATGAACTTCCTTTGCTTAAAGATTAGAGTGGAGTTTAAACTCCTTTTGTGTTACTTTGGGTCCTGTCTAATGTGGCCTGTTTGTGAATATTTAATTATTAATTGTCTTACAACCCTTGAGAGCGCCCTTTAGTGGAAAACGATGCAAAACAGGCACACTTCCAGTTGTTGCTGATTCATTGAGCTTTGTTGTTTTGCTCAACCAGGCTGGCCTGGAACTTACTATGTAGCTCAGGCTGGCTTTGAACTTAGGTGATTGTCCTGCCTGCCTC